CCTTTCCACATCATTCCCATCATTTCCTTCCTTGTTCTTTCACATCGTCTTCATAACTGATCCCATCTATTGTTCCCTTTGTTCTCCTTGTTCTCTCACATCACCTTCACAACTGATTCCATCTATTGTTTCCATCGTTCTCTTTGTTCTTTGACATACAACAGTTACTCGTTCCGGACTCGTTCTTATTCTATACCTGGACTACTATTGTTCTCCCCTTGTTCCCTATTATCTTTCTTTATTCTCGCGCGACTCATATTCCAGTATATAAGCTAGGCAGTCTACACCTGGTCCCTCATCTTGACCTCTTGTCATTGGGACCAGGTGAGTAGTTAACTTCGCTTCTCTTTATCTTCAATATATCTAACTTGTCATTGGGACCAGCTATCTACCTGCTCTTGCTCTCTGCTCGCTGTCTCTGTTGTCTCTGTTGTCGTCTCTGCTAGTCGACTTCCGCCGCCGTTGTTTCTATAGTCCTAGCGTCTAGCGCTTTAGGACACTTGGATCTTTCCCATAGCGGTTTTGGCAATGTTGGAGTCGCCAAAATGATCCTTGAATGCCTTGAGAAAGTCCTCGAAGTCATCGAGCAGTTCGGGGCGTGTGGCGTCGATAGAACGAAGGAAGTCCTTGGGAGAACCGTCCGCAAGATAGGTGCAAAGATATAAGGATTTGTCACGATCGGTTTTGTAAGCAGCACATTGCAGATAAAGAGTGTTTCGGATGTCGAGGATAAAACCTGGGACTGTTTCGGCCTTGCCTTTGAATACGTCCGGTTTCTTGAAACGCATACCACCACCTGGGGAATCGGTAGAGTTGGTTTGAACAGGGGGAGGCGGTGGGGGAGCAGGAGGATGCGGACCCACTGGCGGTAAACGCGCAGCAATCAACGCTCTCAACTCCGAGAGCTCACTGTTAATCTCGTTCATCATGCCAACAGTGACAAGCCGCTCGCTTTCGGGAATTTCATATCGAGGTGTAGTGACAGTGATTTCAGGTACCGCAGCAAAGCCTGCAGTATCACGACCAAGCAGTGGGTGTTGAACGGGTGGTGGCGGGGGAACTGTGGGTGGATATGCCGGATGAGTATCATCGACGTCTTCCATCTGTTGATGTTCGAATTCGGACATTCGATTCAGAGGTCAAAGTGTGAAATATGTGGGAGCAGATGGTGTGTGGGGGTGGCAGTGTCTGAAAAAAAATTGATGCAACGTGCCTGAGATAAGAGGGGATTGAGATACGAGGAGATAAGATTGTTAGCTTAATCAAACTGTGAGGATTCAATCGGGCCGCGAGACGGAATTCGAGAGAACCTCCTAGAGACTAAGACGAGAACTGAAGAATGAAGTAGAGTTGATTAAGCTAGGGAATAACTACGAACATTGAGACTTATATAGACTTAGAACTTATGAAATAGATATTGTGATACTTGTAAGATCTTTGACAGAAACTTGTATTAGAGCGACGTATGAAACTATACTATGAGACGAAGGAGACCGAACCATGACAAACTTCCATCAGCAGATAGTAGACTTTGGGCACCGTGAATAGGGGCAAACTCACAGAAGATATGAGCAAGGTCATGGACAGAGGTCGTGGTGAATAGCCAAGTGATTATGATGAGTGGCACAAGTAGATGTGGTGGTTGAAAGGAGAGGAAGAACAATGCCACTTGGGGGCCGCCACTGCGGCGACAATGTCTCGGACCTCGGTACTGATTTGGGTCACGGGACTTTACTATTGTTCTAGAATATATTACATAAGTACAAGGGCTGCGGAAACCGCCCCTCTCCCTTAACCTCCATGACACGACTTCTCCACCCACGGCCTGTCCAGCGTGCTCAGATCCAAATCAAAATCGACCCCCCCCTTTCATGAACCACCTTCGAACTCTTGACTTGCGCCAATCTACCAAGCACAAACAGATGAGCTACGAAACGCCGTTGCCGAGAATGCCACAGGCGAACACAACTAAGACCAACATGACTGGTGTCAACGACTGGGCTACCGTCACAGTCAGTAGTTCACCCACTTTCAAAGAGGTCAATCTAGGGCAATGACGAATAGGAACGATGGATCATCTTTACTTGATGAAGACAATGGTGTAAGCGAGACTGTTGAAGAGACTAACAGTGCAATGGAGATTATCCAGTAGTCAGATTGGAGTGGGGCACTCGGAGGGGGCTGAGGTCGAGGTCGAGGCAGAACATCATCAAAGTGAGCACAGCTTTTGACCTTCAAATTCGGTCTAACCGTCCTAACTTATCCGCAGAGTCTGTGCGGTTCAAAGGTTTCAGACGTCGTGTCTGCTTTGGTGTTTCGGTATGGTGGAGTGGTCAGATCACCGGTGAGTACTTGGTTGAACCGTTGAAACTGGCTCGCTGATTCTCGTTTGTCTTAGTTGCGGACATTTGGGAGGACTGAGGTGGTCGACGGTTTGAACCCTTCAGTATGAAAGGCCGGTTGTGTAGATACATTAGGGACTGACAGAAGTGTTAAACAGTCTGAACCTATCAGTGTATTAAAGGGCTAATGAAGTAAATACATTACAGTTACAGTCATGTACCGGTCAATGGGACAAGATTTCATAACTGGGACAACACAAATATACCTGCTATTCCACGTGTTTCAGGACATCAAAACACTTCAAATATATCATTCTAAAGCAATTTTATCCTGCCAAGTGTTGGTGAACGGGTGTCCCATTGTTGTCAACAAAATTCGGGAATTTGGGACAGATTTTGGCGTGTGGGAATTTCCCATCAACGCGCCAATAATTGAGCGAGGAAACAGTCACTCTTTGAGACAAAGGTTTGCGTGATACGGATGCACTAAATAGGGCCAAAGATCTGCTCCATATTGCCATAAAAGTATATTGTGTGCGTTATAAGTCTGTAGGAGAGGAATTCCCATCTCTATCCTCAAAACATTGCTGAAAATCACAGTTATCATTTCTTTGAATTTTTTCTAGCACTCAAATCACATTAAACTTCGCTGTATCGGATTGAGAACATGAAAAAGCATCTAAAATAAATTTCTGAGGTGGGTGCGTGTCATATGTGTTGCAGGAAACACGTCTGTCCCATTGAGTGATCCTGTCCCATTGACCGGTACATGACTGTACACTAAATACTGTTTTGTAATGCATAGTCTTTGAACAAACGGTTGAACCGAAATTGTATGTCGCGACCTCTGAGGTTTGAACGAAGCGTGTCAGGTTTGTCATACAGGGGGCAAAGCCCTGGGGAAGCACGAGTGGAGCTTTGCTGCCACTAGTTGAAGAAGCATCCAGGCGGCCCCACACAATGAGGGGCTACTATTCTTACACATCTCCAAGCCCATGAAACTAAATATCACGACACACTCAATTGTACATATGGTGAATTTGGCTTGGTGTCCAACAGACTATTGAGAAGGAATTGGATCTATAGATTGCCAGTTTGCTTACCATTGTGCGGGGGAACAAACACTTGTTTCGATTATAACCTGTACCTGACCCGGATTCACTATGTACCAGCCTCGATTTGGTCAACTGCATGCTACCCATCTCATGTATATCTAGAAGGTAGACTGGGCCTTGCTTCTGACCAAACATAGGGGGTTCCATGGGCAAGTACCCATGGTGAGGTGGGGGAGCTTGCCTTATTACGCACTACGTGCATTGATGGCTGAATGGCTAGTAGTAGTAGCGCGCACTAGTGACAAATTCAGTGTGACAAATTGTCACACCAGCTCATGTGGCTGTACCCCATCTGTTTGGGCCCCAGTAAATAAAAGGCTCGCAAGCTCACCCAACTAAACAACACAGCTCTGCCTCGACTGAATGTCCCGACGAGGGGTGCTGCAAGGTGGAGTGGAGCTGAGGATGCGAAGCTTCCATGTAAGGCAACATCGGAGGCTTTTTATGTCCATTTGTGTCTTTGTGTTAAGCCGGCAGTGTTCTATCCGTCCCTACATTTCGACTTTCACATCACTCTTGTGGGTCTCCAAGTTCACAGAGCCAGAATGGTAAACTGTTCATACAATAGCCCCCGAGAATTTGGCTTGATTGTCCATCAGGTTGAATATCCGATCAGGTTGTCGAGTGAATTTGTAGCTGTCGGCGGCGCACTTCACTGTACCTGACAGCCCGGATCTACAATGTACTAGCCTCAATTTGGTCCAGCTGATCCGTGCGCGTCCAGATCCATGTCAGTTATGCTAGCCCGCTGTCTTGTCCGTGGCGACACGAAACTAGAGACACAATACCCTAATCACATAATGACCTCTGTTTCCCTTGATCCCCCTCTACATATCCACAACCCATGAGGAAGCTCAACAAAAATCAGGGTCATGATCCCTCATGCCAACCTTTGACACAGGGAGAAGTGTTTGATGCGCTTGATGAAAAACAAAAAAGTACTTGTGTTGTTATTGAATGGACATGGAGGGAAAGGAGAAGAAGTTGTGCCGATCTGAATTGAAGCTCGAAGGGCAGCGTTTGTCGCTCCAGTGAGAGAAAAAATCTGCTCAATTGAACTTGGAGGGTGGAAGAAGGTCAAGTTCATGTTATGTCCTATCAAAGTCTGATGAGAGTGCAACTGCAGCTATTCATCTTACTTAGCCACAGTGTGAGAAAAAATTGACGGTGCCGATCCAAATCATAAATAGCAGCAACTTGTTTCAATCAAGTGACCTCGGGGTTTCAGAAAACTCGGAAGTGCTTATATGGGCCCCGCGCGCTACCACTGCACCATGCTGCTAAGTCATGGACATTTGATCAGAAACATCACGTTGAGTATTCTTGACGCGCCTTGTCTAAGATGTTGATGTTGTTACATTCGTAAATGAAAACAGGTTCCCTCCGATTCCTTTTCCACTGCTTCATGGGAAACCACACCGCTAGTCCAAGTAAAACAAGCTCCGCCACTCCAACACATGCAATCCCTAATCTCATCCCCATCAACAGCTTTCGTTTCCCCGAAGACAATGAAACCATCCCCATGTAAGGGTCACTTATTTTTCCCCACAGACACACCCTATGCCATCTTCATAACTCCTTTATTGCCCTGATGGATGCCAATACACACCCCATACAATGGATTCCGCGTTGCAGCAACTGGCGCTCAACGCACCGCCACTCGGAGCTCGGCGCCTAATGGCCCAATTCGTCAACCAGATCATAATCTCCGCGTCCCTTTCCTTCCAACGACTCGTCCCATCCTCTGCATCCATTAAGTCATCTAACCTGGCCACAATAGAAATAGTCCGCGTTCCCCACACACGCTGCAGCATTTACCATTCCTCCGCCTTCATAGCAACTCTCATTGCGCTACATCCCCATGATATCCGCGACCCTCTTCACGCCATTCGATCACCTTTCTCTGCAATACCGTACCTGTCAACATTATTCCGTGTTCCAAAGCCGTACGATTCCTCTTTCATCCCATCTGCATTCATCCTGGCCACGCTGTACTTGCTTCTTTGAATTATCCGCGTCCATCCTCCAATAGTTACCTTCGCATTTCACAACTTTCTCTTGGACTACACATGCTACTTATGCACCACACAATATAGTACAATTCCAGCTCGGATCATGACAACGATCCTCGCTGGTATATAAGCTCAGTAGATAGGAACCATGTACTTTAGTTTCCGTCTATTGTCAATCTCGTTCTACAAGCTTCAAGCTACTGTCTGGTGTGTTTCATAGTCTCAAGTCTCGTACTAACCTTCTGTTCTCGTCCTTCTAGGTCTTTGGTTAAAGTCCTTCATTGATTGCGACTGTCCGCGTAACCCAAAGGACAACCCATACTAAAACTCCGCGTTGCTACCTGGCAGGTTCGACCCGGAAAACACACCTTCGATCAGCGATCTCAGGTGTCCGCGTTGCGTGTAGGCTTGAATCATACGTTTGAACCAGTCAGAGGCTCTGCTGTGTTCGGGTGTTATTCATTTCTCCGCGTTCTTTCTTCTTATTTCAACTTCCGGCTTGATGTAGAAAAGAGGCCCGTTACACCCCACTGGTGTAACGAGAAAGTAGTCCACAACCAACTACCGAATTGGTAGTTTATCCGAGTCCGAGTCGTAGACACCCTCGATCTGTATTGCCAGTCCGTGTTCCTTGTTGCCCCGACAGATCAGACACGTTGAATAAGAGTTGATTTTGAAACTCTGCCGCTTGGCCATCTGACATTGACTTTTGTGCTTTACGGGATGTGGGTCCTAGCTCACAGAGGTCGCTATGGGTCGTTTGGTTGATATCAGTGAACCAAAATGAAGGGATGGGGGAACCGTTGATGGAACATGTCCATGTAGGGGGTTTTCGTGGTTTTGGATGTCTTGTGCGCCTCAAATGGGGGTGTATCCACCTAGTCGAGGTTTTAGTGTATAGAAAACAAAACAAAAACAACAGGGTGAACGCACCTTCGAAGTTTCAAACCAAGCCCATTCCTCCTTCTTCGTCTCATGCATCGTATGGTCAAGTGTGGGCCATATTGACCTTGGTCTTTGAATGCCTTTGTACTACTGTTGAGACTGCAATCGTTTGGACCAAAATAGTGAATTTGTTGTCGATGAGCACTCGATGCTTGGATGCTTCTGACGCGTTGTAAGTGGGAAGAGTATGTGTTTGGGTAGAGGTCGTCGAGTCAGGGCTGCCTGAGAGAGAGGAATGTAGATGCACGAGAAACATGAAGGTTGAGCAGAAAAATAAAATGTCAATGCCAAGTGGGAAACACGAGGCATTTGACCAGTGGCTGGTGAACTGTGGTCATGGCATGCTGATTCGGAGGAGAGACTTGATGATGTGAAAGCCTAAAGTCGTGGAAGCCAATTGGATAACGTCATATTCTCTGGTAGTTTCAGCGACAATTCATTGCCAGTTGAAACTCTTCTTTGCTCTCCCACTGCCAGACCCAACTCAATGGATCCCGCTCTCTCTCCTCGCTTGCGTCTCTTCTTCAACTTGGCCTATGACTACAGTCGGTAAAGGGCAGAAACAGCCAGGATAGAAGGAGATACGAGTTGTGCGTGCAACCGAGAAACTTTGACTGATTTGCTCGACAATTCCAGAAGGGCGTCCCTCACCTACACGATAGCCGTTTATCTTACTGACGTATGGGCAGCGACCTCGCTGTGCCCACAACTAGCGTTCTTCTTGTCTCTTTTCTCGACCCTCGTACTCCTCGAGTCACCCATTACACCTACTCGAGAAATGTCTGAAGCATTCAATGGGGAAAACCTACGTCGACGATATCCACCCTCAAAACCCAAAAATTGACAATCAAACATTCGACTGAAAATGTATCTGGATGGAACTCGATCACATCTAGGCGTAGGAGAGCAATTTCGACTTCAACGTTCAACATTTATGACATTGCCTCAGGCTGAGTAGTAGGTCTATTGGACCACCCCTCTCCTGTATTGGCTTCCCAGCGACCATGGTCCAATGACCGTCTCTTCATTGTGATTTGCTCGCTCTCCCATTTGTTACCGACAACGACTCAATTGACACCAGCTTCCTTGCTTTTCAATATGCGGGTTTCACAGCCATCTAACGCTGGTCTCAAACTCAAACTCGTCGCATATCACCAAAATAGAAACCTCTATATCGAGAGAGGAAGTGCGTGGGTGAGAGTATCTGCCAAACGCCAGACTAATCAACACCAGTCTCTTCTAGAAGTCAGAGGCAGGAGCCATCGTGTACTATGGTACGTTCTCACAAGGGGGTGGGTTCAGGAATTTCCCGATTTGGGTTGGCAGGGTCATCACTCTCAGTGACCCTCACCCAAACCGAGAAAGTCCTGAGCCCACACCCCCTCATGAGGATGTTTACTCGGCATTCCCCGGTGAACGCCCCCGACAGGTCACTGATAATCCGAATTTGTGAATGAACGTGGACGGCAGGTCAGAAATCACCGTGGTTTCCCAAACAACTTAAGACATTCCATTCCACCCCAGGTATGATGCCCTCAGCGCAGTTGGTGCCTCATGCTGAGAGTTTAAGGAACCCTTTAACTCCCGCACTCAAGGCTCAGTTAAAAATGAATATTCTGGATATTAAGGCGCCGAAAGGGTTGGTTTGTCGACTAATCATTTCAGGGTGCACCCTAGGTTGCAACCATGTGCAGTATCCATAATACGTCTTTCTCATAACTGGTTCCCGCAGCTAAAGGCCCAATGGAGGCTGATCTTGGTGACTGACCATCTCTTTTGATATAACTTCGTGGGCCCGCTAACATGGTTCGTCAAATTCTCATGTGTCCTGGAAAGCAAACTGCTAGTACTAACTGGAACCAGTCAGGATCTTTCATTTGGTTGATTATTTCCATGATCTCGAGTCTGCTGAGAGAGAAGCGCATGGAGAAGTCTCAGAGTCGGGACTTGTGAATTGAGAGTGAGATTGCTTGATGGTAGGTTCATCCTTGACTGATATGAGCCTCATGGCAACTCTGATGACATTCCTAGGGCTTGACTATTCAGCTTGATACAGTAAATTGTGTAAATTGTACATACAATAGCTCCCGAGATGGCTTTGGTTGTTCATCGGATTTGCGAGTGAATCTGTAGCTTTAGACGAGCCGGCGCCGAACTGTACCTAACAGCCCCAGATCTACAATACATACCGATACTAGTCCAAATTTGGTCAGACAATTTCTGCGCATTCAAGTTATGTATGATGTTAGGCTGCTGTCTTATCCACACAATCCACGGCCACGAGCCTTTGGACCGAGGCTCTCTTCTCCGTCGATCCCCTCTACATACGCACAACACACGGAGAAACTCAACAAAGATCAGTTCATTCTCCCTGTCATGAAGTGCTGCTTTTCCCCCTATCTTTTCCTTTCTTAGCGCCCATTCCCCTTTTAGCGCCTATTTGTCACTTTGACACCCATTTGTTACTTCGACGCCTACCAGATACCCGGTTCCCCTTTCTTCATCATTCCCATCATTTCCTTCCTCATCCTTGTTCTTTCACATCGTCTTCACAACCCATCTTATCCATTGTTTCCTTTGTTCTTCTTGTTCTTTTATACACAACAGTTACTCGTTCCGGACTTGTTCTTATTCCATACCTGGACTACTATTGTTCTTTCCTTGTTCCCTATTATCTTTCTTTATTCTCGCGCGACTCATATTCCAGTATATAAGCTAGGCAGTTTACACCTGGTCCCTCATCTTGACCTCTTGTCATTGGGACCAGGTGAGTAGTTAATTCCGTTTCTCCTTACCTGCAATATATTTAACTTGTATTTGGGACCAGTTCCTTTATCTGCCCTTGCTATCTGCTTGTTGTCTCCGCCATCTCTGCTGTCGTCTCTGCTAGTTGACTTCTGCCGCCATCATCTCTGTATCCAAAGCCTTAGCGTCTAGCGCTTTAGGACACTCCCCCAAGTACTCTAACCGTCGCGGTTGGCACGGAGAGAAATGTTCGGTGGCTCAGTAAAAAACAAATGAGGAGTCAGGTCAGTTGGTAAAGTGGGTGGTAGGGGGCTGGGTTGCGTTGGAGCTTCAATGAAGGAGAAGTAGGTTATTGCACAGATGGTTAGACGAGGAGATACAAGGTGAGTAGGACGTGAACACACCGTTAAAATTCACCTGAAAAGGACCACTCATTTTCCCAGTCCCGTTATACCCACCACCTATATCTTGCCATCGCAATGAAGTAGTTGATGCTTATGTCGCTACTGTCAACTTTAATCCACCCCCCCATGACGTATCCCACCCTCTCCATCAACACCGTCAATAAACTCCTTCGCCC